ATGTACTTTTCCAGCCATCATTCTCAACAGGGGCCAAACCAACAGGGTCACTTGTTCTTAGTAAGTTAGTTGGCTCAGATATTTCAAATATAAGAGACAAAACAGCTTAAAAGATTAACAGTGAATGTAAGTTAAATTCTATGATACAACCCTCCCCACCCCCCAACAAATGCATAAACAAGATGTGGAATGGAAATAGTGAAGAAAAGTCTAGGTAGCAGAGGAGGGCTGAAGATAAATCCTTTTTTCTCTCTGGTTCCTTCTGATTCCACGGAGACATAAGTAATCAGGGTGATGGGAAAGCAAGATCCAAGAGGGCTGTAGAACTGACTTTAGCCAATAAAATGAAATTCAATTCTGGGTCTTGGATTTAATTCCCTTTGGGAAGGAAGTGTTAGGACAGAAAAGACCGGCGTCAGAATCATCACTCACTGCACTACTGCCCTTCATAATGCAGAAAGGGGTAGCTGTTTTATCTGTCTCTGTTCTACTCATTCCCTGAGTGGCAGAAGAGAGTATTAAAGCGATGGGTGGCATCAGATCGGGATGACTCCATGTGGGGTGGACTCTATAGAGGAGGTAGAAGCAACCACCACTCTTCTGACCTGTTGGCTTGGACTTAAAGCATAAATATGTTATGATAGGGAAAAAAAAACCCGGCTTGTTTTGCTTTAGACATTCTTTCTTGAGATACCTAAATGATGGCTGAATACTAGTCAAGTGATTAACTATATGTAGATAAGCATTTACTGCTGCAGTACTCTGTTTGCTTGTTTGTGTGTTTTATGAAGCAATCTTATAACCCTTTGAAAGACTGTATAAAACAACAAAATCGACAGTATTTGTCCTGGCAAAGGATTATTCCCTGATGGCAAAATGTGCTTATAAGGCCTGTTCTCTTTGTTTCATTTCACTAATGCTTCTGCGGCATGGATTCTGAGTTAAAATGAGCTGTAAAAGTGATATTCATTTTGTAAATGAGTAAATTGTAGCCCAGAATGATTTGCTAAGGTACACTAGCAGCATTACAGTAATTTCATCCCCATTATAAGAAAAAAAGCCTATTGTTAAATGAATTCACCATACTTTAGTGGCAGAACAGAAAGGAATCTAAAATAAAAGCTTATCTTTCTCTCCATGATGTATTTATTTATTTGACACACAGCATGACACAGTGGGAGAAATAAAAAAGATGATTTTCCATCTCCTGTTTTACTCCCCACGTGGTTGAAACATCAAGCTTTGTGCCAAATTAAAGCCAGGAGCCAGGAACTCCATCCGGGCCTAAATATTTGGAGGAGCCCAAATATTTGAGCCATCATTCACTGTTTTTAGGATATGTAATTGCTGCCTAGGGACACCCATGAACAAGGCCAGTGTGAAAGTAGGTGAGGGATGAATTTTGGATGATTCCCAGCAATGGGGTCATAGAACTTTCTGGCAAGCTTGGGGACTGAGACCTGGTAGTTTGGAGGGGAGAGTCCATAAAATCTATTTGAGCCAGACTGATTCACCAGCCCAAATGGGGATCCTAAGATGGACTGTTAACATAGAGCATCACTGACTGCTACACACCAGTCCACCTGAAAGCTATGAATGGGGGACTGTCTGGCAAGGCTGGGTACCAGTACCTGACCAAGTGGTGGGACAGTGGACGGGTCACACTTGGCAGGGTCAAGACACTAACCAGCACTTAAGAGAACCAGGTCCGGGGTTAGATTCTGTGGGGGAAGTGTGGGCCCAACCCCGTGGAAATACATGTTCTACTGGTTAGCTCACGAGCTGGAGTTGTGATGGGTTGAGGTGGCTGTGACCATGGAACCTGCAATCACTTATGGATAGAGGAACCGACAACAGTCTGTGGAGGTCAAGGCAGCAGCACTCGAAAGTGCATCCTAAAATAGGATATCGGGTGGACTGAGATGCAACTAGAAGGGGGTGGACCCGGTAGGGCCAAGCAAACCTCAACTCACAAGGAAGAACAGAAATCAGGATGGAGCACAGGTCATGACAAACTAGGTTCTTACACCGACTGGTCTGCATGAGTCCAAGGTTACTTGGCCATAGCATCAAAAGCAAAGGCTGAGACAGGTGAAGAGCTGAACCAAGTTGGGTCAGAGTACCCACCAGCACATGAGTAATCCAGGGCTGGGAATAGGCTCAGTTGGGGAGCTGTGAGAGTACACCCTTGCTGGGTTGAGGTTCCCACGGGAGAGTGTGGGGGCCAGATTTAGGGGCTGCATTCTGGTCTGAATATGGCTGCAGTTTTCCTTGACACAAGTGTGGACTGGGACTGGAGACACCAGATCAGGCTAGATGCCAGCACTGTCTGGTGCTCTGGAGAACCTGGATAGATATAGAACTGACTAGGCTGTTTCTGCCCCTACTGAGCCATATGTGAGCAGTGTCTGGGTATGGACAAACCTTGGCTGAGCCTAAACATCCAACAGTAAGAACTAAAATTGACTGAAGGCCAGAAAGGAGGGCTGGCCCATGGACACACCAGTATGCGCAAGATCTGGCATAGGGAGAGGATCTGATGGAGGAGCCTGGGAAACTCCTCAGTTGGGACACAGTCTCTGCAGGTGAGCGCAGGAGTCATGATAGGGAGCAACCCAGACCAGGCCAGAGAAAGATACCCACCATAATACATTTGGCATAGGTCAGGGGCAGAGCAGGCTGAACCAGTTCACAATACCCACTGGCAAAACTGAGACTCAGAACACGGTGTGGGTGGGGCCAGGTTCGGTCGCGACACAAACCAGTGCACATTACGGAATGCTAAGGTGAGATGACCTGTACCAGATATGGCCTCAGTGCCCAAAGAGCACATATGAGAACCAGGGAGGGACGGGGCAAAGCCAGCAGGGGAATTTGGGCCCCTCTACTGGACAACCACTCCCACTGGAGAGCATGAGTTGAGATGGGGGCAGACCAGACCAGGCAGGGCTACAACACCTGTGGGCCTCAGTTGAGCTAGATCAGGGAAAAGCCAGGTTGATACAAGCAAAAATAAGAGTGAGTGAGGGTTGGTTGAGCTTTGCCGCAGCATCAGCTGTCAGAGGCTAGCACTGGGGGCTAAATCTGTCAAGTTAAACTCCAGAGCCACCTGGCGGGTACATAATCCGGGCGTGGGAGTGACCTAGTAGGGAAATAGTGGGCACCTCCCTCTAGGGTTACCACTCCCACTGGAGAGCACGAATACCAGGACAAGGGTAGGGGTGGCTAGACAGAAAAGCACCCGCCAGTATGCGTGTTGGCTGGAAAGTAGGGCTGGTTGGGTTGAACGAGGCTTCAATACCCATTGACATGTACGAGAGTCAGATGGGATGCGGGACAGACTGAACAAGTCTGCGGTACATACTGGCAAGCACGAGAACCAGGGCAGGGGGCAGGTCTGGTGGGGGTTATTGTGGTTCGCTCTGATTAGGCTGCAGCTCCCACTGGTTTGTGTGAGGGCCATGTATGAAGTGGGCAGGATCAGGCTGGACTGCAACACCCATCGGTTCGCGTGGAAGACAGGGCTGAAAACAGAACTGACAGCAATTGCAACGACCAGCATGTGCGTAAGTGACTGGGACAACGGGCAGTGCCAGACCCTGTACTGGCAAACTCACACAAGAATCAGGTCTGGGATCACCTCAGACGAGGTTTCGTTGAAGATCCCTCCAACTGAACTGCTCAGCTCAGAACCCCAACCATGAAGAGTCTATGTCAGCCAGTGGATTCTGAACAGATTTCACCGTGCTTGGAGCAGCGAGATTGGCAGCAATTCAGAACTGTTGAACTACCAAAACTGCTTGCGCAGGACCCTTGGAGCATGTCCCACATTGGGGACCTGGGATGGGTGGGAGGCAGGGTGGGGCTTCTCCCTTTGTTTCTCCCCTGACCCCAGATACAGGGGAAAAAAATGAATAATGATGTTAGTGTGGAAACAATGGTCTTACCCAATTCTCTGTAGTTCTTGGCCCTAATCAACTATGTAAGGTTGTTCAAAAAAAAAAAAAAAAAACACTAGAAAAAAATATCAAGAATGGAATCTTCAATATTTCATTATAGGAAAATAGCTCCTCATTAAAATATTGAAGTACTTTCAATTACGTTGTCTTCATTTAATTTTTTAAAGATTTATTTATTTTCATTGGGAAGGCAGATTCTCAAAAAGAAGGAGAAATAGGAAGATCTTGCATCCACTGGTTCACTCCCCAAGTGTCTGCAATGGCCAGAGCTGAGCCAGAGCTGAGTTGATCTGAAACCAGGAACCAGAAGCTTCTTCCAGGTCTTCCATTCAGGTGCAGGGTCCCAAGGCTTTAGCCCATCCTCTACTGCTTTCCTGGGCCACAAGGAGAGAGCTGGAAGGGAAATGGAGCAGCCAGGACATAAACTGGTGCCCATTAGGGATCCTAGTGTGTGCAAGGTGAGGATTTAGCCACTAGGCCATTGTGCTGGACCCAGACTTTCATTTTCACCACTCATGTATTGCTAGATACATATACACTGTCTTCACTGTATTGACCTCAAAATATGAGTATAAATTTGGTTTATTACTAAATATTTTATCAATAAAGTTTTAAGACCAAGATTATTATAACTCTTATATCAGTATAAAAGAGGCAAAGTAGGTGCTGAATTCACAGTAAAATACTGTGGTAGCTTGTTGGGGGCAACACATGTGTTGCCTACAAATTGCAGAATGATTTTCTTATTATTCCTTATGAGGCTGAAAAAGTCATTTCCACAATTAAAAATCAGCCAACAGTTCCACATTTTCTATAAACAAACCTAGTTTTGCTGTACATGATTTGAGGATTTAAAAAAACTAAATTTTACAGGTAATCATCCCAAGTTAGAAAATAATATTACCAAGGTTTAAGATAGCAATCATACAAGAGGCTGCTACTGTGTTCAACAAAGCATTAATTCTTACCAAATGAATGCTGACACCTGTGTGCTATTGAAATAAAGCCACATGAAGCAACGAGTGTAGAGAAGTAACATACCCAGGCGCTCACACATCTGCCGCAAGTGGTGATTTTGAAATCTCCATAGAGATCTTTGATGGCTCCAGTTGTGAAGAAGCCTTCCACCATCAGCAAGATGCCATACACGAAGAATGCAGCTGCAATGCCATAGATCACGTACTTGAAGATGTCAATCCTGGCGGGTGAAAAGACTCATTTCAGTCACTGTGTATGGCTGATTTACAGAAATTGATTCTCACATGCTCGGGGGTCTTTGGTTGCAAATTCACAAAATATTTATGTTCATAAAAGAGACTGAGTTGAAGATTTTTGCTTTTTGTGTTTAATGTTTGTGCTACAATTTTTTTTTGCACTTCCATATTTGGTGACTACAGCAATGAAGTCTTGATAAGTCATGAATTGTATAGTTTCATAGGGGTTGGCTTAATTTTATTGTATAAATAGAAGGATTTATATCAATTTTTCCAATTAGAAGAAAACAAAAAAATGTATTTTTTAAAAGGAGGAAGCAAGCATTATGGTTAATAATTACTCATTTTACATATATATAATGACATAAATTCCAGATTCTGTCATCCTAAATAGTCCATTATGATAGTTCTATCTCATACCTACAGAATTTTGCTAAATTTGCTGCTATTGAAAGTGTGAACGATTAAGTGTGAACATATTATTTTAAAGATAAATTATAATTTTGACAATTGAATTTTTATGCAGAGTCCTAAAGAATATTATTTTGAATTTATTCTGAACCAAGTTATAGTATACTTCAAATCATAGAGGCATGAGAAGGTAATGATTTTCTCACAATTGATTGCTTAATGAAAAAAAAATTATCATGTGCCTAAATGAAAACATTGATAAGAAAATATAGAAAGCATAATGTAGCATTGATGATAGAATTTGATTAGATAAATAGTTAATTCCTTTGGCTAATTCCTTTCCATAGCTCTGTAGAAAATGACTATCCAATGGGATTAGAAAGAACAATGAATACATTTATGCATTAAGACTCCATTTGCATTTACATGTTTTGAAAACATTCAATCCATTCCACAGTTCCAAAAGGTATGATATAAAAGCATCGGATGGTATAGGTCTTGTGGCACAGTGATGATGCTGTTGCTTGCAATGTCTGCGTTCCGTATTACAGAGCCTGCTTCAAGTCCTGGCTACTCTGCTTCCCGTAGACACCTGCTAGTGGACACCTTGGGAAGTAACAGGTGATGCTCAGTACTTGGGCTGATACAGTACTGATACATCAATAATCAGAACAGAGTTCCAAGCTCCTGACTATTGTCTGCCCACATCCTTGCTAACTTCTTATTGCTCTCCTGGCTTTCAAATAAATAAAAACAAATAAAACCCTAAAAATTTTCAGGACTATTCATGATAATATTTATGTTCTATAGCTATAGGAAACCCCATTAGAATTTATTGTATCACTATAATCAGTAAATATTAAATGATACTTAGGTAGTATGATCACTTAAAAATATTCTTCCAATCTATGAATACAAGTGTTATAATTTTAATGTTTTGTCCCCCAACGTTCCATGTGTTAGTTGCTAGGCTTTCAGTCCGAGGATGGAGAGGTTGTGGAAAACCTTTAGATGCTATGTGCTGGGAAGTTCTTAGGTCAGCTAAGGTCACATCCCTGGGAAAGATTGTAGGCTTCCAGCATCTCTGATCTCAGTTTTAAGATGTGAAGTTTGCCACATTCCCTGACATTTTCATTTCTGTAACTATTAAATCAATAGGATACTTTATTGATTTTCAAGTAACTTGCTAATGGCTTGCAGTAATATTGCTAATTTTTAAAAAGATTTATTTTTTATTGGAAAGTCAGATATACAAGAGGAGGAAAGAGAGAGAAAGATCTTTCATCCGATGATTCACTCCCCAAGTGACTACAATGGCCGAAGCTGTGCCAATCCAAAGCAAGCAGCTTGGAGCTTCATCTGGGTCTCAAGGATTCCATGGCTTGTGGCCATTCTTGCCTGTGGTGCTATAACGTGTGCTTTATCCCTGCTCTTTCTCATTTGTGTCTCATTATCTGCTATAATTTATTTCTTTGCAAGCACCATGTGGCTAACACAAGGAATATTATAATGAACTATCCTAACATGAAAATAACTGGTTTGGTCACAGATACATTCACTTTCTAGGTTTCTTTTCTCCCCACAGTTTATACTTTTGCTGTCCTAATTTATATATTTTTAAATTCTGTGTTCCTTAACAACTTGTTGCAGCTAAAGAATATTAGAGCTACAGTAGGAAATAGTTACTTTTTAGCCATGTAAAATCAAAGCATTCGTTGAATAGGAGATGAGTAGATCTGTCAGTCTGGGGTATTTAGATATTGAAGTAGATTCCACTTGTTTTTCTTCAGAAAAGGACTTCACATCAATAATTTCAGAAAGTACACTGAAGCTGTTTGGGAATGTCCACAAGGATAATAAAGAAAAAAAGTCTTATTGTGAAAAAATAATGACATAAAAATAATGCTCTCTGAGCATCTAATACCTTATAGTTAACTATAAGCACAATGCCATACAGCAGAGCTTCTGAATCTCTTCACTTGTTATGACTGAAGAATTCACCTGTTGAACAACAGGTACTTATTTCTTCACCCTCTTCAGCCTGTAGTTTCTAGAAATCTCCACACTTTGTTTCTATATATTTGTCCTATAAATTTGCTTATGTTAAGAATATCACACAGATACAACCATACAGTGTTAACCTTTGCGAATGACTTATTTCATGTAGCATAATGTCCTCAAATTTCATCCATACCTTAGTATGTGACAGAACTTGGCCCTGTTGCAGTCAACATAAGAGTTCAGCTATCTCCTTGACTTCAATGTTTTTGGGTAGTACCTGGCAGTATGGTTGCCAGATCATGGGGTAATTTGATTTTTAATTTCTGAAGAAACCTCTGCATTATTTTCTACAGCATTTACAAAATTTTTATATTCCCAAACACTCAAGCATTACTTTAATTTGTAATAAACTTTGAATTGACATTAGTGTATGGTATAAAATAAGGGTCAAGCTTCATTCCTTTGTACGTAGACACTCAATTTTAAAAAAATATTCCTTGTTGAAGAGACCATCTTTCCCTACTGTGTAATTTTGCCATATGCTTTAAAAATCATTTTGCTCTAAATGTGTCAGTTTACTTCAGGAATCTTTATTTTGTTTTTTTATATATATTTTATGCCTTTGTAAGTCTGTTTTATTAAATTTTCAACACATTTTGGAATTAAGAAGTATAAAGTCTACAAATTTATTTTTCATTCTCAACATTGTTTTACATATTCTAAATCTTCTGTAATTTCATGTAAATTTTATGATCTTTTCCAATACCTTAAAAAATAACACTGGGGTTTTGATAGACATCTTATTGCTTGGTAAATAATTTTAAATAATATGGATATTTTAGCATTATTATGTCTTCCAGTTCTCGCATATGAAATATGTATTTTTGTATTTACTGTGTAATTTTTCATTATTTTAGCTTTTTTTTTTTTTTTGGCTTTCAGCCTATAAGCCTTTTTTCCTCCCTGTGTAATCTTATTTCTAAGCTTTTTTCCCCCCTTGGGAAAGCTATTGAAAATAGGATTGCATTGGTATGAATGCAATCCTCTTAAATTTGTTAAATCTTGTTCTGTGAACTAATGTGGTATATCCTGATGTGCCCTTCAGAAGAATGTGCCTTCGAATGCTGCTACTTAGCATGTTCTGTGTGTCTCCTGACGAACCCTATTGGGTCTAGAATGTGACCCAGTTCTTGTTTCTTTAACGATTTGATTATTCTCCCTATCATTTGAAAGTGGTACATTGGGCTCCCCTACGGTGACTGGACTGCCATCTGTTTCTCCCTGTAGTTCTGTCAACGGATGTAGAACATTGTTTTTCTCCTCGTGCAGCTGTAAGCCTTCTCACTATTTCACTGATTTGCTTTCAGAGGCCCTTAGGCATCCATCCAAACTATGCCAGTTCTCTAATTTCTTAAATTGAGGTAATACGGAAACCTGACTGCTAGCTCTCTAAAATTTCAGAACATTGGATGTGCTTCCAGTCTTCTCTTTCCATCCATGCAGAAAATCTAAGCTGGGATAATCTCTTCTAGTACTTTGCTGGCATGGAGTAGAAGCTAATATTGACTAAGTTCGTTCTTCTTACCTATATCAATGCAGTTATTTTCATGTTTGTGCTAACCAAGTGTACTGCAAACCATTTAAGTAGATTCTGCAAATCTCACAATGGAATTTTGTTCTGCACACTATCTGCAAATCTCACAATGGAATTTTGTTCTGCACGCTATTAAATTGGTATTTCTGTGTAGGAGCAAATACTAGGACTTAATATTTGTTACATACTGCTTTAAAAAGGATCCTTTGTAACCAATAAATCCTAAACATTTTAATATATTATAAAAGTTTCCCAATGCGAAGATTATGGCATATTTAACATTTGAAGATACTATGTCTTACCAATTCCTTACATATTTTAGCGGTAGGTAGAATGGTGGCTCCAAAATAGGTAGATACAACCTGTAATTATGAAACCTTAAATAACAAGGGGACTTAAGATATATGATTAAATTAATGATTAGGAGTCCAGACACTGCCCTGGATTATACTGGTTGGCACAAGGCAAAACATAGGTCTTTAACAATGATAAGAGTTAGAGAGGCAGGCTCAAACTCAGAGAGAATTTGAAGATATTGCACTGCTGGTTTTGAAGGGAGTCATGAGCCAACAAGTGCAGGTGGCCTTGGGCAGCTGAAATAAGCAAGGTTGTGAATTCTATGCTAGAGCTTCCAGATGGAGCAAAGTTCTGCCAACACATTAATTTCAGCACATTTCAGTAAACCCAGTAAGAACCATTTCAGAATTCTGAGATCCAAACTTGTAACATAATAAATGCTGTTTTAAGCCAATAAATTTTTAGTGATTTTCCTTAAAGCAGCGAAGAAATCTAAGGCTTATTAAAAATAGCATGTTAATAATGATGCTTATAGATGATATTTGTTCACCGTCTAAATCATTTTTATGGAATACGTTTCTAGAGACATCTAAGTTTGTCTACAAAGTTTGTATTAAAATAAAATGCATGAATAGTGAGTCTAAGGATTTATGATCTGTTTCCTAACATCAAGCATTGCTA